AACCCGCAACAGAAAATCTGAGAATTGGATAATCTTACCAAGGTGTTGAAACCAGCTTCTTAGGATTACCAAAAATGAAAGATTTCCTAACAGACAAACTCTCCCAATCAATGTCAAAGTAGACAGCACCTTGAAAACAAAGTGGAGTGGATAAAACGTTTTCTCTCAATCCTGTCTTTCAATAATACAAGTCAGTTTTTGCCAGATGACACGCATGGAAAGGTGTGAATTGAAGTCACCGTTGAGTTAGTCTGTGGTAGATATCTTTCAACAGAATATAGGAAAGGTCTCTGAAAGGGAAGGAACTAGTCACAAAAGCCTTCACATCTGCATGGTTAAAATAAATATTGGGACAGACGTAGGGTCTCTAAAATCATCTGTCAATGGATACTGTTTATTAAATGTTTGTCTTCGACATAATTCACAATGGAACTCAAATGGCAATGATATTTTCCTTGGGATAGAGTCAATATGCAATGACTTAAAATGAAAATATACAAAAAGAAATAAGTGAATCAGTTATCAATATAAGCCAAACTCATGAGTCTTAAATCTCTTTAGGAAAAGGCTTAAACTAATGTAAACACAATTTCTGACCTGTCTGGCTAATTTATTCTCTGATTTGTAGCAACACTGTGTACGTGTTTGTGATGAATTCTTCGTGCTGTACTGTGTTTGTAATTTCTATCACTTCGTCCCTCAACTCGCCACTCTTAATAGAGGCTTATTTTTCATCAGCCGTGGTACCTGGCATGTTTTAGTAAAGCTGGCATCCTGTTTTAGTAAAGCTCAATATTTTAAGAAAAATCTCGGACTGCTGGACTCAGTGGCTCAGCCTGTAATCCCAGCACTTTAGGAGGCCGAGGCAAGTGGATTATCTGAGCCCGTGGATTTGAGACCAGTCCCGGCAACTTGGCAAGACCTCGTCTTTACAATAAAATAAAAAATTAGTTGGGTGTGGTAGTGCACGCCTGTAGTTCTGGCTACTTGGAAGGTTGTGGTGGAAGGATCGCTGGAGCCCAGCAGGTCAACGCTGGGGTGGCCGTGAGTGTACTATTGTACTACTGCACTCCAGCCTGGGCAACAGAGTGAGACTCCACCTCAAAAAAAAGAAAAGAAAAATCTCACTGGGTGCAGTGGCTATAATCCCAGCACTTTGGGAGGCCAAGGTGAGAGGATTGCCTGAGCCCATGGGTTCGAGACCAGCCTGGGCAACTTGGCAGGACCTCATTTCTACAATAAATCAAAAAAATTAGCCGGGCATGGTGGCGCGTGCCTGTAGTTCCAGCTACTTGGAAGGCTGAGGCAGAAGGATCACCTGAGCCCAGAAGGTGGGGGCTGCGGTGGCTGGGAGCATGCCACTGCCCTCCAGCCTCCAGCCTGGGTGACAGAGCGAGACTCCAATTCAAAAGAAAAGAAAAGAAAAATCTCAGACCATTTTTTTTCAGGGCATATTTACACCAAGAGTAATACTAAGGCATGAGTTTAGGAGTGAAGACAGCTTAACTTCTAGGGGGAAAATCAGAGAAAAATGGAAAGTATTATACAATGGTCATCCTGTAATAACACCCTCCGCCTGGGCTCGGTGGCTCAGCCTGTAATACTAGCACTTTGGGAGGCCAAGGCGAGTGGATTGCCTGAGCCCACGAGTTCGAGACCAGCCCGGGCACCTTGGCAAGACCTCATCTCTACAATAAATATAAATAAATAAATAAATAAATAAATAACACCCTCCACATAGACCTATTCACTCGTGCCCATCTCTTTCGCTGTCCATGCAGTGAGACGTGCCAGTGCACAGATCTGATGCTCACTTAACCAGGATTTCCAGATGTTTCAGAGAGGTCAGACAATGTGCACCTAGAGATTGGCAAGCACACTGTTTGTTGTGTGTGCATAATCTCATTAAAGCAACATCAAAACGGGCCTGATTGTGGAAATCTAGGACATCCTTTTTAGATGTGTAACACAATATGTAATGAAAGTTTTTTTTCTGAAGCTCCCAGTTTGACACTCCCAGTCTGGCCAGATCTTTCTTTTTCACCTATGCTTTTCCCTCCTCAGTCGTCTTTTGTGTGTGTGTGTGTGTGTGTGTGTGTGTGTGTGTGTGTGTGTCTACGTGTGTCTGTGTGTGCTTGCAGACTGAGGGTGTTTTTCCCCACTCACACCAACCCTCTGTCTCTGCTGTTGCCCCTGATGGGAACTGTTGGAGAAGTTTCTCGGCTCTCAGAGTGTAATCAAGCACTCCAGGGCAGTAGGAGGGGCTTTCCCATGTTCTGTTGCAGCCGTTCCTTGCTCCATCAATCACCCTGATTTTCCAGGACAGGCAACACCAGAGTGAGAAAAGATGGGATCATGGGTCTGGGCGTGATGGCTCACGCCCATAATTCCAGCACTTTGGGAATTGAGTCAGGAAGATCACTCAAGGCCAGGAGTTCAAGATCAGCCTGGGCAACATAGCCAGACAGCCAGGCTCGGTGGCTCACCCTGTAATCCCGTGCCTTTGGGAGGCTGAGGTGAGTGGATTGCCTGAGCCCGCAGGTTCGAGACCCGCCTGGGCAGCGAGACCTCATCTCTGCAATAAATAAAAAAAAATCAGCCAGGCGTGGTAGCGCATGCCTGTAATTCCGGCTACTTGGAAGGCTGAGGCGGAAGGATCACCGGAGCCCGGCAGATCGAGGCTGTGGTGGCCGGGAGCGGCCACTGCACTCCAGTCTGGGTGATAGAGTGAGACTCCAACTCAAAAAAAAAAAAAAAAAATTAGCAAGCAAGGTGATGCATACCACTCAGGAGGCTGAAACCACTCAGGAGGCTGAAGAGGGAAGATTGCTTGAGCCCAGGAGATCAAGGCTGTGGTGAGCCATGATCATACCACTGTACTCCAGCCTGGACAACAGAGTGATACCCTGACTCAAAAAAAGAAGGGAATATGGAGCTGCATGTATTGTGCACATTACCCCATCCCAACTGAAAATTTACCAGTGGACCAGAAGTCCCTAATCCTCTATCCGTGTTGCTTCCTGCACCCTTGGCTAGTGATCGGGGCCACTTGTTATACTACCAGGCCTGCAACTCAAACCATACCCAGAAAACCTGCCCATATGGGGGACGAGAGTTCAGAGATAGTGACACCACAAATGGGGGGGGAGGTGCAGCAAGAATCTTCGCTGATACCAAAGTCCAGTCCTGGCCCCACACCTGGTTCCCCTGCACCCAGAGAGGAGGGCGGAGAAGGCTGGAGAGGGAGCCCACCTTGGGCCCAGTCTTTCCCTTTGTCCCCTCACCTCTTGCTCTTCTTGTCTCATCTCTCTGTGTAGATTCTGAATGATCAAAACAGACCCACCCACTCTGTCTTCATTTTACTCTGAAAAATACCAGCAGAGACTTTTTTTTTTGCCTTGCAGTAGAGATCTGTGAGCCCAAAATGAGTCATTCTCTATTTAAAAACAAAAAAATCAACCAACTAGGGAAAGGATAGGCGAACGTGAGAACACACGTAGTCCTTGGGATTTTGGTATACTTCTCTCATTCCTTATTTGCTTCTCTGGATGAGTATTCCTTCCCTGAAAGAATTGTCTCTAGTCCTCTACTGCAAGTGATTTCTTTTCTTTTTTTTGGTCTCAGTTGCATTATTTGTGCCTTTGTATTATGACCTCTCCCAAGGGAAGGACTGTCTCCTCTTTGCGTCTGCTCCTTCTCTGGTCATCGGCAGAGTATTATGGCCTGCCACCTAGGAGATGCTTAATAGCAATCTATCAGTAAGTGATAACTCTTGGCCAGGTGCAATGGCTTAAGCCTGTAATCCCAGCACTTTGGGAGGCAGAGGCAAAAAGATTGCCTGAGTCAGGTATTCGAGACTAGCCTGGGCAACTTGGTGAGACCTCTGTCTCTACACTAAATCAAAAAATTAGCCAGGTGTGGTGGCACATGCCTGTAGTTCCAGCACTTGAAAGGCTGAGGCTGAAGGATCGCCTGAACCTAGCAGGTCAAGGCTGTGGTGGCCGTGAGCATGCTACTGCACTCCTGGGCGACAGAGTGAGACTCTGATTCAAAAATAAATAAATGAAAGGGCCATTACTTTGTTAAACTCTGCTTTCCTTAGCCTTGGCCACCTCCCCTACCTTGGAGAGATGAATCTTCTCTTTCTCTCCCCCCACCCCATATACTGTGTAAATAAACTTTGCTTGAAAACTTCAAAAAAAAATGAATGAATAAATAAAATGTTAGCTCTTGTTTATTCGTCTTACTACTAGACTGTAGTGATAAGATGATGTTCTTCCTGTCTCTGACCCTTAATAAACATTTAGTGAGTTGAAGATAAAAGCAATCTTTTTTTTTTTTTTTGAGTCAGAGTCTTACTGTCACCTAGGCTGGAGGGCAGTGGTGTAATCGCTGTTCACCAATGCCTCAGCCTCCTGGGCTCAGGCAATCCTTCTGCCTCAGCCTGCTGAGCAGCTGGGACTACAGGTGTGTGCCACCACACCAGGCTAATTTTTAAAAATTTTTTTTGTAGAGGCGAGCTCTTGCTGTTGCCTAGACTGGTCTCAAATTCTTGGCCACAAGTGATTCTCCCACCTCAGTCTCCCAAAGTGCTGGGGTTACAGGCATGAACCACCATACCCGGTCGCAACCTTTTATGTTCTAACTGTAGTCTGCCTAAATAATTTACCCTGCGGGACAGAATAAATAGCTTGGCGAGGTTGAAGCAGAACCCAGAGGGAACATGCTAGATGAGTCAGGAGATCCAGGTAGAAGCTGGCTTTGCTTTGACCTCGCCTGTGTGGATGCCCTCATTTCCTTTCACGGTGTTGGGATGGTATCATGGCTGTAAAAACACTTTGAGAAGGGTTTAAAGCATTATACAGACACAAGGTGTTATTATTTCCTTTACAAGTTCCGGTAGCAAAAATTATAATGACTGTTTAGCAAATGTTGGCTAGCAGTGTTAAATACTGTTTACTGCCCAAATAAGCTGTAATCCTTGTGATACTTTCTCACAGGTATGAATTAGGAGCTGCTCTGTTTATTGGATGGGCAGGAGCCTCACTCTGCATAATTGGTGGTGTCATCTTTTGCTTTTCAATATCTGACAACAACAAAACACCCAGGTATGAAAAAGAGACCAAAATTACCTGTTAAAAAGTACAATACTCTTTTAAATCATTACACGCGGGACACATTTTTTTAGACAGTTCATGTTTCTTGGAAACTTCAAAAACCCAGAACTGGACAAGATTAGAAATATACTTAATTTTTTTAAAGAATTCTTTATTGTTGTATGCCAAAGCTGTTTCTATAAGTAGAAATAGGGGTCTGAATATGTTCTTCACTTTGGCCTCATTGTAGTTTTTACATAGGAATTGTTGGGTTTCACTCTGTTGCCTAGGCTGGAATGCAGTGGCATACTCATGGCCACCACAGCCTCGACTTGCTGGGTTCAGACAATCTCTCCACCTCAGACTTCCAAATAGCTGGGACTATAGGTGCTCCACCATGCCTGGCTAAGTTTTTGATTTATTGTAGAGATGAGGTCTCGCCAAGTTGCCCAGGCTGGTCTTGAACCCCTGGGCTTAGGCAATCCTTTGGTCTCTGCCTCCCTAAATGCTGGGATTACAGGTGTGATCCACCACACCCGGCCTGGATGAGTCAGTTAAGAATTTCTTCTGTAGACATTCTTTGTCACACTAGCTATTCAGAAATGACACAGAAATATTTCTTGGGACAAGAGGAGGGAAGAAAGCTAATTAAGAGGAAGACTTAGATAATGACAGAGATGGCCGGGAACAGTTTCTTCTCATTTTTGTTTGTTCCGCATGTAGAATAAAATCTACCGAACTGTGTTTTGCCTTTCAGAATGGGATATGCATACAACGGGGCCACATCTGTCATGTCTTCTCGGACAAAGTATCATGGTGGAGAAGGAGATTTTAAAACTACAAACCCTTCAAAACAGTTTGATAAAAATGCTTATGTCTAAAAGAGTCTTGCTAACAAGCTGCATCTTGAGTTTGTTATGAAAGTGAACTGTTCACAAAATGCTCCCATCGAGGCCCTCCTGTAATTAACACTCAAGCTGTTTTTAAAATATGAATTTGAAGAATTTTTTGATTGTATGGATGTAAATGTTCTTACATACTTATATACTAATCATTTTCTGTATGGCTTTCTATAAAAAATAAACAGGTTATTTACAGGAGTTGTAAGATTTTTATGCATTTATAGAACACACAAAGACTTTAGTACCAAAGGTTCAAAAAGAATTCGTTATCTGATCTTTTTAATCATTCATACATAAAAGTCTTTGTACCCTCTCCTTATGTTACTTTTCATTCATAGATTAAGCAGGGATATGAGGAATGGTGTCTTATAAACAGCATGGGGGCACTCAGAATATTCCTCAAAAGGTGTCCAGGTTAAACGGACATGTTACTGGCTTTGTAATCAACTTTTAATTTTTTTTTTTTTTGAGTTGGAGTCTCACTCTGTCTCCCAGGCTGGAGCGCACTGGCACGCTCACAGCCACCGCAGCCTCAACCTGCTGGGCTCAGGCTATCTTTCCCCTCAGTCTTCCACCAAGTAGCTGAAACTACAGGCATGTGCCACCACATCCGGCTAATTTTTTTTTTTTTTTTTAATTTACAGTAGAGATGAGGTCTCACCAAGTTGCCTGGGCTGGTCTCAAACCCATGGGCTCAGACAAACCTCTCATATTGGCCACCCAAAGTGCTGGGGTTATAGGCATGAGCCACCGTGTCCAGCCAACTCTTAGTTTCTTACCCATGTCTGTCATGGCTGTAATTCATCCACTGCTCTGGGAAGGGCTAATGGGGCCAAGATGTTATGTTCGTTATGTGGCACATCGACATTATAAGGGACTGCTTAGGCATCCCTGGCACAGAAAGTAGATCCTTGAACTGGGGCGTCAGCAAGAACCCAGCTAAAGACACTGGTCACGGTTGACTCTGGAGTCAAGGATGTCTTAGAGCCTGCATGGTACCTGCCTCACTCAGAACTGATGGGCAGAGTTACAGCATGTCTCACGGGTCCTATTTATGGAACTAGCTGGGTAACTGAGAGACTTGCCATTTTTCTTTTTTCTTTTTTTTAGTTGGAGCCTAACTCCATCACCCAGGCTGGAGTGCAGTGGCACGCTCATGGCCACCCCAGTGTCGAATTGCTGGGCTCCGGCGATCCTTCCACCTTAGCATTCCAAGAAGCCGGAATTACAGGTGCACTCTACCATGTCTGGCTAATTTTTATTTTATTTATTTATTTTTATTATAGAGACGGGGGGGTCTCACCAAATTGCCCGAGCTGGTCTCGAACCTGTGGACTCAGGAAATCCACTCGTCTCAGCCTCTCAAAGTGCTGGGATTACAAGCTGAGCCACCGAGCCCAGCCAAGACTTGCCAATTTTCAAGACATGTAAGTTACTCCAGGGGTTCTTAATGAAAACGTCAATTTCCTTCCAGAGCCAGCCCTAGGTAGCATATCCAAAGGACAATAGTTACTAGGTAACACACATCTTAAATGCCCCATTTCACCCCTCACAGCTATCTTGTGTGGTGCGTACTATCTTTCACCCTGCATTTACAGAAGAGGAAATAAAAGCAGAGCACTAAAGTAACCTGCCACAGTAGTGACAAAACCAGCCATTTGTTTTTGAGTCAGGGTCTCACTCTGTCGCCCAGGCTGGAGTGCAGTGGCATGCTCACAGCTCACTGCAGCCTCAACTTCCTGGACTCAGGCAATCCTTCTGCCTCAGCTTCCTGAGTAGATGGGACATAGGTATGTACCACCATGCCCGGCTAATTTTTCTCATTTTCTGTAGCGACGAGGTCTCACTATGTTGCCCAGCATGGTCTCAAACTCCTGTGCTCAAGTGATCTTCCTACCTCAGCCTCCCTAAGTGTTGGGATTACAGGCCATGAGCCACTCACTGTGCCTGGCCAAAACCAGGCATTTGAACCAAGGCAGTCTACGGTAAAATACATAGTTTCAAGGTGTAGATAAGAACTGAAATCTGTGTTATCTTTGAATAGGAAACTATCCAATATAAATCATGATGTGGGTGAAGATAACATTTTCCTGAAGAGTTAAAGACTTAAGGAAAATCACATTGTTCAAAGGTGCTCAATGGAAAGAAAAGGAAATGACCACATTTGTTAAAAAAAAATTGAAAAAAATCCCATACCATGATACTTGAAAGATCTTTTCCAGCGATAATGGTTAACTGAAAGGCATACAGGTAGGTTAGGTGCTAAAGGCTCATTTTATTGTTTTGTTTTGTTTTGTTTGAGTTGGAGTCTCACTCTGTCACCCAGACTGGGGTGCAGTGGCCGCTCCCAGCCACC